TTATAACTACATGTAATATGCATGTATTGCAATGGAGTGATTTATGGAAAAGTTGATTTTCATTAAATCGTCAAACATATTCAAGTTTTGATATGCGATCGAGAAGGACATCGGTTGTCAAACTTATTAAGAGTAGTGTACACATGTCATAAAATATAAACATTTGACGAAACACCCTACTCAGAGAAAAGTTGAAATCTAAGTTTTCGGAGCTTGTTTTTCATCCAAAATTACATTACATGTGTTAGTTACCTAATGAGGGGGAGACAGCAGAAATGCTACTTTGCTCTGCATCTTTCAGAATTCCTTCAATTATCATTGAAGAAATAGGATAGGTGTCCTAGATGGTTGCACCTTGCCCACATGCATTTCATACTCAACCAGTTTCTTAGTCCGAAGAAAATGTTAAGTATTCCTAAAGTTACTTGAACGACTAAAGAATATTCAATCATTTTCAACACAAACTGCCAGTTTTACCTCTGAATTATTTTTTAGTGATTATTAATATTATTAGGCAATTGCAACGCGAGTATTGTATTTGCGGTTAATAGTTAAAACTATTGACCACAGTTTGACCAATCAGAATTTCAATAATGGGACTACCAACACGGGGCCATAATCTGAGGAGTAGAACTTAAATCCTACATTATTCCCAAACACAAATCATCACTAAACATACAGATATGAGCAGCCAAATGAGGGACATATGTCTCTAATTGGCCCATGTGGAACCGAGAATTGCTATATAAGTGCTCAGGTGTTCTGGCTTACGTTACAAATCAACCTAAACAGGTAAAATACTTCACATTGATGGAGAACTACAGGGTAGGAACCGAGTCTGAATTGTATGAGTCCCCATGTTCTCTCTGTCTAGGGGGAAACTTGTTTGAGATTAGCGTGAACGGGTGATACACCTTTGCTCTCCCTCAAACCATTGCATTTCAGGTTATTCAGTCATGTACAACAAAGTCATCATTGACAAATCAACAAGCGACATTTTGCATGGGATCCATTGAGGTACTTAGGTTACATCGTACTTCCTTAGGGACAACTGAGAAGCATATGTTTATTGATCATAGTCAAAACATGCAGTTTCAAGGTTCATATTCATGGCTACATACCTGATTGCTGCATATCCTACGCCAGTCATATTTTAAGGTCCTTTTGATTAAATCCAACGTAGATGCAATGAAAAGACTATTACTGACCATTAGAACACAACAGTTCGAATTATAGTATTTCCAAAATCCAGTGCAAAACATAGTGTTTTCTAAGTACATAGACTGCTAGGCAACCGATAGTGTCACCATGTATACTTTGGTTACTATAGCAATAGATGTGTTTCCCTGGTGATAAAATGTAAGGTTCTGTGTATGTTTCCGCATCTATAGTTCCATGTTGTAGACGGCTTAGTTGCTAATGCAACAATTTAGAAATTCTACTTGTTCAAGTGTAATTCCGTCACTTATCTACCCTAGCAACTTGCAGGTAGGCCTGAGTCTTCAGGCTAGAATTCCATTCACTCCGGCTAAGTAGTCAAATTGAGGGATGCTATTATATCCTCGCCTCGAGCTTCTTATCTCTTTCCTGACCCTTTCTTCTGGTGTTACCAATCAGATTTCCCGAAACATTTGAATAAGAGAGTTTCTTGAAAATAACAAGTAGAAGTTAGACTGCTTATTTCAACGATGACGTCATATAATGATAATTAAAAGCTATAAAGGAACTAGGCAAGATATACCCTTAACATATTTATCAAATCGGGTATACGTACTCTGCGATCTAAGTACACAAAATTAGAATAGTTACAGTGAGGTCCATGTTTGCAATATCAGTATGATAGACGTAGCATTGGCTTATTGAGCTACAGGGAAAAGTAAAGGTCTACTTGGAACATTGATAAATGGGAGCAGAACGTAACGATGTACAATGTATACATGATGGCCAACAAAGCAAGCCAACCGATTTCGAAAATTTGGATTCGTTTGGTTAATGTTAGCGTACCCGTGGAACAACCTTCAGGGGTGATCTCAAAAGTATTTTTTCTTAAAGGGAATCAGAAAAACATGAATAGCAGAAGTGAACTTTCAAGTCAAAAATATTATTACCATTCAAAACAAAAGATAGGGAGATTTGAAGCGGAAGAGGCGTTTTTAAAAATCCAAAATCAGTCGTTTAACAGCATAATCGCGATTCTAAGGCTGGAATGAACAAAAAATATGCATGATTTAAATATGTTGCTTTAGTTGCGAGAAAACTTCCCATTCTAAAATAAGTTGGCCATTTTGAGTAAAAAATTATCCAACGAAGATTGTAATTGTTTTGAACATTGCTAACTTCCTGAGTAAATAGTTGATCGACATATTCTTTTAATATTTCCCAACACTTGTGTTACTCTCATCGCGTGTTTAATGATGCAGTAATTGATTCAAACCTGCCAACCTATTTCAAAATTGCAGAGAATCTCATTTTCTCTACCATATATTGCAATGATCTGAAGAAATAACAATGTGACAAATAAGAATTCTAAACCTTAAAAATGACATTGTAACAACTCAAAAACTAGTCTTCCAAAAGATAACTAGTCTTTAATTGGAAAACAATAAAGTTTGGAATAAAAAAGTGTTTCGTGAAAAAGCGAAAATTAAACATAGTAGTCGTATGTAGTAAAATATTTCTGAACATGATTCTTCAGGTTGGTAGTTAATTTTTATATCCATAACTGTTACTGTTTGACGCAACATTAAATTTATTGTTTATCGACCGTTTCTTCCTCAGAATTTTAACTTCAATAAAGAATAAATTTAAGGTTGCGTCAAAAACAGTAACAGTTATGGATATAAAAAGCAGTAAAATAGTTTATCTAAGTCTCACACATACATATATACATATTAAAAATAGTTTTTTAAAAGCTAGGATTGTATGTGATTGTGTGTTTCGTGAAAAAGCGAAAATTAAACGTATAAACGTAGGTACAAATTTTATAGCTCTTATCAAAATGCTTACAGATTTTAAAAACATCATCCAAAAACTTCAGACGCCACACAGAAAATGTGAACTACTGGAAGTGAATGTACAAAGCCGCATAATTTAGGATAAACAAATCAGCCTAAATTGGTTTTCACGATATTGGGATTAACATTTATCAATATAGGCCACTATAACACGTCTGCCCCCGGAACCCCCATACCTAAACAGATACATTACGTGATCCTATATTTAGTGTACTAAATTTATAATAACATGAAAAATAAATGTGATGTGATGCGGTTATAACAGATATATTACGTTATCCTATATTTAGTGAACTAAATGTATAACATGAAAAAATAAATGTGATGTGATGCGGTTGTAATACGTCAACTCTTCTTAGAGGAGACATGACAATAAGAAAACGAAAAGAAATCTGTCACTCACTCGAACATTGTGATATACATCCAATCTGTTCGAAGTCGAATCCACTTGATTTATCAACTTCTATCAGTTCATATCATGCATCAACTAATCTATTACTTCTATGAATGTTCATCTCTCTGGTAGTAATGTACTATTAACAAAGTTGTTGATTTTAAAATAAATATCTCTGAGAAAGAAAATCAACAACTTTGTTAATAATCTTTTACTAAAACTAAGTGTATCAAGCATTTCCTAATTCTAAATACTTCATGGAATTATTGTGTGCAAGAATTGTATAAAATTAATGGACTAGAGTTGGATTTTTCCCAATCATTCAGTTATTGTTTCGAACTGGGTCCAAGTTTTCTCCAACCTTGCTCAATCATTCCAATAAAGCTTACTGTTTATAAATAGCAGAGGCATATCTTATAACAGTTGAAATTGAATGGTTCACTCTTCACCAATGACTAGTATTTGGTATATTCTCTTTAAGTCTTGACCTTGACCTTGCTAACTCACTTCCTCAATGCCTTGTTTTTTGTGTTGGTGGTAACATATATCTTTTGATGACTGTTACTGTTATCTGACTTTAATTATAAATATATCTCAATTGGCAACATTTAGAGTTCAAGGTCACCTGAAATGTCAACAAATGGGCTCTAAAAAGGAAGGATGATGTAAGCTATGGTCCTCTTTTCATTATAATTGTCATTTCAAAAAGTGATGAAATAAGGTCTGAGCATTAGGATTTTTCAGTAAACAGACATTTTAATATAAGGGATAGAGTAACAAAAGTTATCCTCAACTCACATCATTTACTTTCCCTTTAGGCTATAAAGCTTCTTTATTAAATTGAAGGGAAATATAGCATGAACGGATTTTCAAAGTTCAAGTTTAATAAAAGGTTCCCACTTATCCCAACAACAAAAAATGTATGGATTGGCGTTGACAGATTGTTCACAATTTAAGAGAATTTTGTTAATGAACAGTTTGAATATAAGACTTAGTCCCTCAGGAAATGCCTTGAGATTCTAAACCAGTATGTCTTGCAATCAGCAATTAACAGAATAGAATTTTATAAATGTCAGGGATATCCAATCTATAGATTATTCCTCTTCCATGAAAACGTATTCCCTTTTTATAACACAAGCTATTCTTTTGGGATTGTACAAGTATAACACAAGATAAATTACTCATTTAGTTAATTGTTGTTTATCTAAAACTAAAGCTACATAAAACTAAGTATTCATTTAAAAGTTTATTGCAATGATTCAAAAACGGTTTGCAAATGAGTAGATTTAACATTGAGCGGTTGAGTAAATGCTTCCGAGTAGTCCAGTAGACTCAACCAAACATGCATATTACATTTTAACTAATGTTTTGGAGAAAAGAAAATACATTTGAGATTTAATTTTTAGACACTTAAAATTCCAGTGTAGAATATTGCATATAAATCAGGTGCTAATTCAGCAAATAGATGAACGTCTTAATTTTTACATTTTTGATAAACTACCCAAGATTAAAGTCTTTAATGTTAAGTGATGATTCAGGTTCAATGAAGATCCTTAAAATGATAATAAATATTTGATCAGGATCATCCCAGAATGGTCAGGATCATCCCAGAAAGATCAGGATCATCCCAGAATGGTCAAGATGATCCCAGAATGATCAGGATCATCCCAGAATGGCCAAGATCATCCCAGAATGGTCGGGATCATCGTAGAATGGTCGGGATCATCCCAAAATGGTCGGGATTATCCCAGAAAGGTTGGGATTATCCCAGACTGCTCAGGATCATCCCAGACTGGTCAGGAGGATCATCCAAGACTGGTCAGGAGGATCATCCAAGACTGGTCAAGATTATCTCAGAATGGCCAGGATCATCCCAGACTGGTCAGGTCAGACTGGTTCAATGATATTATTCCATGCAATGTTATTCAGCTTAAAATCTTCCCAAATCTGGATTGAGCTCAGCTTAAATACAATTCAAAATTGTCCAACATGATTGAAATTAAAATTATTCCAATTATAGTAAGAACAAATCCTATTGTGGTTGAGATTATTCCAAATAAGGGCATAACGGCTCTGGATGGAGTCTACATAAAATCGTCATAAGCATTGTCGTATTGTACAGTTGCACTATAGTCATCCAGTTCACCTCCTCCTTTCGAGCTTGTAATTTTAGGTTTAGTACTTTTTTTCTTTCCTTTTTGACCCTGGAAAAACAAACATTAATGTAATGGAATATACTAAATATACTTTATAGTACTGTTAATTGCTTTGGTTTGACAATTGTCGTATTCATTGTTCCCTCTTCAAAAGAGGAGACACGAAAGATTTTCCTTATAAGGTCAAAATATTTCCATTGATGCAGTTCGCGGAGGAACAAATTCATACTTCCTTGTTTTCCCCAATAGGTTTAACATGGGGATTTTCACACCTACACATAAACAACTGAGCAGTTGACGCGTCGCTATTATCTAGGTCAACCGGTTCAGTGTCCGAAAGCAAATTGATGGTACTCATTTCCGAATTTCATTGTTCATTATAAAAGCTTTTCTTGATTATACTCAGTATACTGACCATTAAAGCAATGACAAAGAACAATACTTCTGATGCTGTCATTGTTTTATTTAGAACTTTCGGGTCACGCAAATGTATCGTTGGAAATATTTACCAAACAAATTTTGTCCTTTTTGAGAGCTTTTTAAGTATATATTTTCGTACCTTCTCGATTAAAGAGCGAACTACGAAAGGCTTAATTCACCCATCTTGTTCTTGTTCTTGATTACCAATTGAAATGTCATCATTATATTAATAATATCAAACAGTATTTTAATATACTTTCTTAAAAAAATCTTCTAAATTGAGTAGTAGCTGAAATTTTTCGAAATGGCAAATTTGCTAACTTAAATCCACAACAACATTTCAGTGATTTTTGTTTCAGATACTGTTGAGGTGCTTTTATATTTTCACAAGTCACGCACCATGAAAGACCTGTTAATATTTCATCTAGCCCCATGGTTATACTTTATCATATAGCATTTCATCCATTTACAAATTGATAAAGTTTTATACCTTTTGTATTTTTACTTTTTCATTTGCAACAGCATTTAATGTACTTGAGAGCTTCTTCACTTCGTCTGCGTCCACTGCAAGTTAAGAAAATTAAATTAAGTTCCTCTATTTTAACAAATTAGGTCCCTCTGTAAGACAAATCCAAAATAGAATGTCATATCATTTGTTCTCGTTTTTCTAATAGTAATTATTATCAATTTATCATACATGATGTCATCTTATTTTCAAATAGTTTTGTAATGTTTTACAAACAATATTTTCAAGGTGAATAGAGGTAACGCATTCCAGCCATGCGTCGCTGTTCAAAACGAGGCTGCAACATGTTTCAGAACAAATTGGAGGCAACAATGATTATCAGAGCCATTGTTTTTGAAAACCATTGCTTTACATTCGATGAACAACCCCTAAAAGTATGTAAAGCCATAAAAATTTCTAATTAGGCATTGACCATGATGAGCCGATCCTTTTTTTCTGGAGCTATCTTCTAATTCATTCAAATTGAGGTGGTATTTCGCCACTTATGAGCAAAATTAACATTGGCATTCAATGACCTAACAAATAGAGAATGAACAGTACAAATTAAGGTTGAGACTTTTGTTCGTTTTTCTAGCAAACTGCTTACAAAATTGAACTCCTAGAAACGTGACACAGTCATTTTCAGCAATATTGCAAGAGTCCACAGGTCAGGTTCAGCTATATGGCAACGTAGTCCAAACACCCACTTTCTCTGTACACTGTATTTTAAAGCACAGTCATGAAGGATTGTTCCTCCAGTCGAATTTCAAGAAACAGATTAATTGACTAACCATGGTCTAATTGATTGGGATTTGATACATCTAGACTAGTATGTGTGAATATTCATAAAACTTATTATCAGCAAGTTAGACTAGAAACTAATTGCTAGATCAAATGAATCCTCTAACTCTAATTTGTATCATGAGCTCCTCAATATATTTGTCCAGAAAAATAGCATTTTTGCATGCAACTGTGTAGAAGATCAGCTTCATTGCTGTGACCTAGTTTCCAATTTCGTCAAATATGTATGGTGTCTAGACCAGCATTGCCATTGTGTCTGGACTACGTTTCCAAAATATGCCTGGTTTTTGACCCAGAATAGGTTGACAGAAGACAAACAATGAACACACTTTGAAGAACTATAGTTTCTGTGGTTTATATGTGATTTCATAGATATGTACCCAGTGACAAAGTCAAAAACATGGAATAGAAGCTAGAAAAATGACCTGACAAAGGATAGGTATCGATATGAAGAACTGAATTCAACAATGCTTTTCTCGTAAACCAATTATTGAAAACATTCTGTAAAAAAACATGGTGCTTTATGTAATTTAATGTCTAAATTATTTATATATATTTCATATAACTGTCTTTGTTAACATATTCTGTTTTTTTAGTACAATTGTTTTTTGTTCCTTTCTACCAATTCTTGAGAATGAAATAAAATGTCTTTCCTAACCTTGTTGGAACAAAATAGCATATATACTAGTACAACATTTTCTTTGACCTCTCAATATTATAGTTATACAAAGGAAATTTTGGGTTAATTGACAATTGATTAATTGGTTGATTTAACAAAAAGTATGCAAAAACTTAATAAAACAAAAAAAAACAAAAAAAAATTGGAACATTTGTTAATTGAACACAAACCCTTCATTTTTCCTCTAAAATGCACCAAAATTTCACTGAGCATAGTTCTCACTTAACTCTCTGATGTAAAGTTCATAGGTGCAAACCACAACGTTAATGCATTAAACTAGTCAATGCTTGATATGACCCCCTTTTCTTATCTTAAATATACACTTGTCAATTTCGCAGCTACTTTTTCAAGCATTCTTTATTTCAAAGCTTTAATGAACATGTTGATTGCTATACACATTTTATAAAATCATATTTAGTTGACATGAGGTATTTACATCTATGGTTTACTGGAAAACTATTGTCAACTCAAGAATACCCCAAATCATTATTTTTATTTAAGAGTAGGAAAGAAAGAACATGTCAAAGGTGAGTGATTGCATAACCCATAAAGCTACTAAACTGACAAAATCATTGTTTCCACTTTTCAGGAGAGGGAAAACTGACTAGTTATTTACAAGGCTTTATTAAAGACCACCTCTAAGCGCACATAATATAATATATCATTTGTGTTCTGGGAAACTCCTTTATGATATTGATATACATATATTGATATATTCAATGAATATTATTCATATTAAACAAGAAAGGGGAGGGGGTTCATTTACCAGTCAAGGCAAACATATAAGTAGTTTGTTCGAGCTGAATTTTTTAATCAAGATGGCTTGGACAAAATCAAACGAACAGCAAAGTAAATGAATAATTTCAAAACTGAGTCCCAGGCTTCAACTTGTAATTCAGGAGAAAAGGGGTCATATCTTTAACTTTGTTGTTAGCACCTATAAACTTCACATCAGATTAATAAGTGATTGAACAAGACTCAGTAAAATTTTGGTGCATTTTAGAGAATGATTTTGAGTTCAATTATCAAATGTTCCAATTTTTTTTTTTGGACCACCCTGTACATAAAAATTAAGATAAACCTTTTATTTTATTAACAAGATACTTTTTTAAATCAACCAATTACAATATTAAGAGACCTAAACACATTGTGTTATGTCGTTTTGTTCCAATGAGGTTTGGATAGATGTTTCATTCCATTCCGAACATATGATACCAGGAACAAAAGAAGTGTCTGATGTGTTTTCTAAAACAATATAGAGAAAAGTATATACAGAATATACATGTACATGTATATTTCAAATTATATTGTTACCATCTAAAAGATGACCATTAAATTGATGATGAATAAAATTTTCAGAATTTTTTGATGACTGGTTTAAGAGAAACGCGGTGTATTTTGGTGTATTTTGCATCAACATTTTTCATGATGCTATAATTTATATAATAAATTCTGTATTTACTTACGGGTAACTGTTACATCTCGTATTAAATCATCTAGGAAACCGTGATAGTGAATAGACCGCTGCAACAAAAATTGTTAACATTTAACAGTAAAACAGTCTGACAAATATCAATGTACATTGAAATTATGCTTTAAAATCAATAGAAATATCTCTATGTGTCTAGCTACACAAAGAGATGTTTAAAAACACAAGTCACATTTTATTTTTACAATAAATATCTTGTTGTATTAAACCAATGTCAATTCTTCCAGTGTTCCGCCGAGTGCACACATAATTAGCCCTAGTCCAGGAGAAGCTTAGCTTAGCAGAATTTTGAATTTTCTCACATTTGCATTAGATTTTTCAGTACAGTTCAGTATACTGTACACACACTTACCTCTAATGTGTTAAATTTTTCGACTATTTTATTTTTAAAAGTATTAAATTCCTCTACTGTGGTTGGTTGCATAGCATCAATACTGGACAAGCCTTTCAGTTCATCATTTGATATTCCTGAAATGCACAAAATATTTTTTGCATGCTCTCTGCTTCTACTATTGATGGAAAATCTACAGACTCAAATCGCAATGAGTAAAATATTTTTTAATTTGGGTTATTTAACCCTTTCACGACGATAGGCTCCATATGGAGCCCTATTACAGTCTACAATTTCGTTTTCAGCTCATACTTGCCAAGAGTGACTACTAAAAATTATTAGTTCTCGCCATATGAAATTTGTACTAGTCCTGTTTTGGGCAGGAAATAACACATAAATTAAACAGAGACACGACACATAAAATAGTCCACCCGTGTAGCTCAGCGGTAGCGCAGGTACCTCTTACGTGGAACAATCTTCCCTAATCCGTAATAGACACCACAGAAATAAATCAATTCAAGAATGGAATTGATAAGCACCTGATAAGACAGAAATTTCTTCCCCGCAACTAAACCCATGTCCAGCGAGCAATTAAACAACACCCCCCCCCCTTTAATATGACATTAAGTGTAAAAAGAACTGGATCATACAGGACTATCCTTCTTTCCAGAATAACAGACATAGATATATTTGCCTCAAAGAATAGTATTTTTCTGACTCAAAAGTAAACAGAATTAGCTTTAGAAGAATGTTTCAAGTCAAACAATTCAGAGAAAACATGTTGTCTTATGAGAACATAAACATTGGTAGTCATGTGATCAGACCAATCATATACCAATATACCAATCATGTTGTTTCAACATTCAAATTTAAATTTCCCACTATAATAAACATTCCTAAGTGGCTCTAAGTGAAAGGTCATCCTGCTTAATTTATGCAGCTCTTGCGTTTTAGAGTTTCCCTCCCCAAGATTTTATTTTTTATTTCAAATCTACATGATAAAATGGGAACTGCAAACTTTATTGAAGGGGGTATGCTTATTGAAAGCAATTACTAGTATTTTTCTCAATAGATGTCTCCCTCTCTCACACTAATCTGAGAACAGGAAGTTAGCAAACTTCAAAAAGTATCTTAATAATACGGTGATTTTACCTATAAATTGCTGGTTTTTAAGACTTTATTTTGGAAAAATAAGAATCTGTATGGTAAGTAAACACTTTATCTTATGTTTTGAGAAGTTATAGCCTAAAAGCTGGTCTTTTGTTCTAGCTCATTTTCGCCTCAGCAGTTTCATTTCCGCATTTGGCGAGGTGCGACAGACGAAATCGTAGACTGCTATTATGTAATACCTTGCAGGAGGATAGGTACCCTGCGTGCAGAGTCTAGTTAAACTACACTCTGCCTAGTAGAGACCATATTACAGTTTAGTAGCCCCGCCCCCACGACGGGGTACCGATGACAGTTTGGGTAAATCACTTTTGACCTAAGCGCCAATCAGCAAGCTTGAAGAAACATACGCCAAATGCGTTCTAATTAAATATGCGCATGTCATTGGTCAATTCCGGGCTCAAGGATGACGTCAGAAGGAATGACCATATAAAGAACATCGGTCAAATTTGGCCGACGAACACTGATTGGCGCAGTGAGTTCACAGGTTTATTTTAGTTTGAAAGAGTGAAGACGAAGCTCTCTTTTAAGAAGTGAAGTCAAACGAATGCAAAGGGTAGAGGATAGGCTCCTCTTTGCACCATTATTTTTATCTATATACATCGATGAAATGATAATATCTTCAGTTCTATTCAGTATTTTTACACCAAATTTTGACAAGTTGTTCTAATGTGATAATCCTTACTAAAAATTGTATTTCAGTGATAAAATTGAAGGTATAGGTCCCGGGGCATAGGTAATTTTCCCCTAAAAAACACTCTTACTTATCCGTCACCAGGGTCAACATTTACCTCTTATATTCACGTCGGGAAAGGGTTAATGGATCTGATACAGAGGCTTAGGAAAGCAGTCGTCTACTCGTAATTTACTACCACTTTTTTCATTTGACGACTACATGTTTCAGTCTGGTAGTCCTGTGTACGACTAGTATATTCAAAGTTTTTATATGAACTTATTTACCGTCAAACTTGCCCGGAATATTGCAAGAGAAAAACAATTTCTAAAATTCACTTTCTTCCGGTATTCAAACCAATCAGGTTAATTCTTTATGCAATGATTCAGGGATGAAATTTTGGGACCACTAAAATTATTTAAAGTAGTGGTCCCTGGGACTAGTACAATTTCAAAAAGACCTAAGCCTCTGATCTGATACATGCCACAGTATAATATTCACCATCTATTCTTAAATACCTTTGGTTAACAGACAAAAAGGGCTTCTAAAATTCTTTGCCTATTCAAGCAACTGGGATTCACTTAAAAACCAGGGGCTGTGAATTTGTACCACCATCTTTTTTTATATTTTATAATCTTTTTTAAATATTTTTGTGATCAAATTTTACCTAATGTTTCTACAGCTATTTTAAGATCTTCTTCCTCCATTTGTCTTTTTAGTCGAAGTTTTTCAGCTGCCATCTCCTCGGGATTTAGTTTCCTTTTGGCCATCTCTTCCTAAATCACATAAATGCATAAATGGGTTAGTAATAAAAAACTAAAATATGGAAGGATTAAAAGTTTAGGCATTACATACTGTAGAAGTGGAAATTTCAACGAGGCATAAATTTTATTGAATTTTTCTGAGAACAAGAGGTCAGCAAAGTAAAATTCGTTAAACTTGAAAAAGTGTCGTATTCTTGGTACATAATCTTGAAATTCCATTTGTCCACAGTTGGAAATAAAATTGAAAATTTCCTATTTGAAAATTCTAATTTTTGTATGACATTAACAGCGCTTGCATTAGGTTAGAAAATTTGTGAGTCCCAAGGACGCAATTTTTTTTAAAAAGTGTGTCCTTTGAAAAAAAAGTGTGTCCCCTATTTCTAGCCTGTTTTGAGGTATAACTTTATTTTAAAAGCATTTTTTACCAAAACACCTTTCAGTTTTTGATTTCTTGCCGCGAATTTAAAACGGAAGTAAACGTTAAGTACGGACTGAATAAATGCATGTTCGTTCATTCAACAACGAATACATTTTATTTCATGAATAACCTAATATTTGTTTCTGAATAGGAAAAACTGTGGCGTGTCATGGTTTCAAATCTAAAAATAAACAAAGTCGAAAAAATTCGAGAGAATCATGATTATTTGTACATGTTGAGCCTTATTTACGATTCAAATAAAGGTGAGAGATCATAATTATTTGTTTTTGTTAGGTTTCGTTGTAAACAAATTGTAGTATTGACCTAAACAATTTTGCGTCCAAAAAACGGAAATATTTTCAATTTTTGCGTCCTCCAAATTATTTTTGAGTCCTTAACATGTACGGGACGCCGTTAATGCAAGCCCTGCATTAAACTTTAATGAGCCTTTAATACTTGTAAACCTCAGAATGTTGACCTTGCATGTCTTTGATAAAACACAAAACTTTTTTTTATGACTAGTTTGAGAGAAAAATGTGTTCAATTTAGTCTACCATATCACTACCAATCCTTTAAAAGCAATGTTTGGGAGTATTTTGGCTTTCCCTAATGATAAATGTTAAGGTGAAGGAATACTACAATATGTATTTAGTTTGTAGGGAGGATTTGAAGTACATTGTATATTCACAATGAGTAAAAAGTTTAAATGACTCTGAAATTCAAAATTGAGAAATAAATTCAAAAAGTGTAAGTCAAAATATAATTCAATGAACCATGCTACTTTTGCCAGTCAGGTCTTGTCATAGCCTGGCACATCAGTTCCCAGTCAATTCCCAGTGAGAGGGCTTTCAGTACTGCTGCTGACACTGAGACAGCCTTTTAGGGTCCCACCTGTCCCCAGACAAAGTGGACGTGCTTATTACCTGGTGATTAAGGCTCTTGACACTAAATAGTTGGCTTGTAGCCAGATTTTGCTCGTAAAAAATTAAATATTTATATTATATTATAATGAGGCCTGTAAAAACTGTCAACAGAACCTGAACTGAACCTTGAAATTTTAGCATCATTTGATCCCTACAAGGGGTTTCATTAGCAGCAGGTGATTTTCACTGGTTGTTTTCACAAAATCGCCTGATTTTTTAGGGATTTTTCAACTTTTCCATGTTAAACTCATGATTTCCATTAATTTTGCCTGTTGTTTTCATTTATTTAGCCTGTTGTGAGAAATTCTAGGGAAACTCCTGCCAACATATTTTCACTAAAAATTACATTTGCTGGCTGTTATTACTGTAGATTGGGTTAATTTGGCGCTACTTAATTTGGCGATTTTGCCATTTTTGGCATATTGGCGGCTATTTAATTTGGCGGATATGCAAAAAATTGGGCATGTTTGGCTATGTTCATTTTTTTTCTTTTGAGGACCACTGGCGATATTCACCATGTTTGTACAATTTTGTGAGATCATCCTTAACATTTTGCACCTCGATCGATGCTGCTACTATACTGCGCTTTTCCTTTCTAGTTTTTCCCTGAGTATTAATGAGTGACTGACCAGTTCTAAGCCAATTTATGAGACATTTTTTCATATTTTTGGAAAAACTAAACCGGAAGTGACCTAAATACACTGGACGAAATACCCTAGATAATTCCCGGGGATTCATTCTAAATTTTGGCGAAGATTTATATTGGCGAATTTTTCAATTTCGCCAAATTCGCCAAATTAAAGCGGGCGCCAAATTAACCCAATCTACAGTATTAGGAATTTCTCAACCTTTAACCAGTGAAAGGGTTTGGGTAAACTTACATTTTTTCTCTTTTCCTCTGCTGCTTTTCTTGCTTGCTCTTCTTTCTCAGCTATCCTTTCTTTAAGAGGCTTCTTTTTCTTCACTTGAATGGCTTTTGGGGCTAAAATAAAAACATTATAATCTTGGAATAACATTTATCGAACTAGGAGTCACACAAAAGAACAAACAGAAGGTTAGGTTACATATGGTAGTCATACAGTGCCATTATATCATTTGATTCATAGGATCATTGAGTGTAAAACCAACTACATGACTGATTGCAGATGCTTTGTGTGTTCTACTGTGCATGGTAAAGTATATATTTACTATAGTACTAGTATATTGTATAGTATAGGATACAGAAAACAAAAGGTGCTCACAAAAACAGGGCCAAGCGTCTATCACCAAACAACCTAACATTAGAGTTTTATGGCAGAGGGGATTTCAGAACATCAAAGTGTTCTTTCTTACCATATCAGAGCAATTTAACCGCATCTTGTTTTAATGCATACACATTTCTTTCAGATAAATAAAAATATTGTATATATTTGAGATATTAATACATTTAGTTCTACTTCAAACTGCATCTAGAAACAAGTTGACTTTTAATTACTAACCATCATCTTCTGGTTTTTCTTCATCTTCATCTTCCCAGCTTGCCTACAATGAAAAATATAAAATATACATTTAAAGATTAAAATATACAATGAAATTACTAATTATACAATGAAAGTATAACACTACAAAACGGTTAATTTGAATAAGTGACAAATGATTACTTTGAAAGATGTTTGATAGCATAATATTTGTTGAGTGTTTAGAAAGTAAGTTTTGATCCTATACCATATAAGGTTTTACAAGGTTTTATAATGGAGCTACAGTTTTATAGCAAAATCAGATTCTTGTCCACAATACAAGTTTCAATTAACAAATTAATTTCTGATCTGGTTCACCTTTACCATCCACCTAATAATCAAAAGGTATTGCTACTAATCAGTATATACAGGTAGTCGCTAATCGAATCATGGCCAATGTTACTTGCAAATTGTAAAAAGTCAGTGAAAAGAACACAGTTTCTTGCTATTTTTGACATGACATCAGATCTCATGAAAGAACATCAAAAAATGACAATTTCTGACAGGATGGAAGTTAAAAACAAATCTACCCACTACAGGCCCGTAGCCAGTGGGGGAGCTGGGGGAGCGGAAGCTCCTCCCCCCCTGGCCAGAAATTCTTTCAAAATCATGCAGTTTTTCACCATTCTGAGAATTTTTCCCATGATTTTTAGCCAAAATTGTGAAAAAGCTCCCCCCCCCTGGTAAAAGCTGGCTATGGGCAAGCACTACACTTAGCTAATTGGCAGAGACTGAGTGGTCAACAACTCGTATACAAGAACACAAATGTGTACAATATGTCCCCACCTATGGTTGATCCTGTCAAATGGTTATCCTAAAAATGAGTAGACAAGACTTTACCGACACAATTTGAGGACGGAGAATCCAAAATGGCCACCTTAAAATTTACCAAGAATGCCAAAAAATTAGTCTAGATTTTCATACTAAGAACCACCCCTGAAAATTTGAAATTGATCCGTCACACAGTTAACCAGAAAACATGTAAACAAGACTTTACAGACAAGATTTGAGGACAGAAAATCCAAAATGGCTGCCTTGACATTTATCCAGAATGCCAAAAAATAATCTGTTCTAGATTTTCATACTAAGAATCTTTCCTGAAAATTTGAAATTGATCTACCAAGCAGTTCACCTAAAAACGCATAAACAAAACTTTAAGATTTTAAGACAGAAAATCCAAAATGGCTGCCTTGACATTTATCCAGAATGCCAAAAAACTAATCAGATCTAGATTTTCATACTGAGAATCATCCCTGAAAATTTGAAACTGATATACCAAATGGTTCACCTGGAAATGTGTAGACAAGACTTTACAGACAAGATTTTAGGACGGAAAATCCAAAATGGCTGCCTTGACATTTACCCAGAATGCCCAAAAACTAATCAGTTCTAGATTCTCATACTAAGAATCATCCCTGAAAATTTCAAATTGATCTACAAACGGTTCACCTAAAAACGCGTAGACAAAACTTTAAGATTTTAAGACGGAAAATCCAAAATGGCTGCCTTGACATTTATCCAGAATGCCAAAAAACTAATCAGATCTAGATTTTCATACTGAGAATCATCCCTGAAAATTTGAAATTGATCTACCAAACGGTTCACCTGAAAATGCGTAGACAAGACTTTACAGACAAGATTTTAGGACGGAAAATCCAAAATGGCTGCCTTGACATTTACCAAGAAAGCCCAAAAACTAATCAGATCTAGATTCTCATACTAAGAATCATCCCTGAAAATTTGAAATTGATCTACCAAACGGTTCACCTGAAAACGCGTAGACAAGACTTTACAGACAAGATTTTAGGACGGAAAAATCCAAAATGGCCGACAATAAAAAAGTGATTATGAGTTTTTGCTGAAATCTTTTTACAAAATTATCACATATAACTACTGTTAACAATAACCTAGGCTTTTACAACAAAGTACACCTGAAATTATTTATAAAGCTACTAAAAAGTTAAAGTATGAAAACTGAAAAACACCATTCAATATGATACAAAGTATTATCGTGCGCTAACTTTTCTTAAAACATTCAAAATGGCTGACATGACGGAGCTAACAGGTCCAAAACCTAATCAGATCTAGAATGAAGTGAGCTGAACAAGATGTTAAAGTTTTAAAAGGAACTGTGAAGCCGTTTTTCTTAAAGTTTGCAGACAAGGATTTTAGCATTTGACTTAAAAATGGCCGACAGGAAGTAGGTATCGAGTTAATTTTTTTTCATCCACATCTGTATGCACTCATAAGTTATCCCTGAAAATTTGAAGGTGATATCTGTAGCGGTTTTGGAGAAAACTGCCGGATGTACGGACGGACAGACGGACAGACAGACGGACAGACAGACAGACGGACAGACAGACGGACAGACGGACGCGCCTAGGCCGACAATATGGCCCCACACTATGTGGTGGGGACATAAAAAGGCTGTGGTGTGTACTTGAATGTCTGTGAATCCGTGAACATAAAACTATGGCTCCTCCAAGGAGAGGTTTCTGGCTCTGGCTTTGAGTGTAAAATATGTTAAGTATGGAAATATACTGATAGGGTATTGTTCACCAGAATATGGAGGTAACTATAGTATGTATCCAACAGACTGACTAGAAGTCAGTCTGTTATGATGTACTACTTTCCTGTGGAAATTGCAGTGAAATTTTTTGCACAATATTATCAATTAGAGGAACCATTTCTTCAATAAAATAAACATTACAAAATTTCAATTGAGTAGTAAGGTGCAATTAAATGCAATAAAAAGTAACACAGCATATTGTCAAGTGGAAATAAAGCTAGATGAAGTAACAAATGTGCAAATTAAGTTTACCCAATCGGCCATTTTGAATAGCACTTCCTATGTAAACAAATATTTAGAATTACCAAACTTTAACAAAGGTGCCTTATAGTCTGAATATAAATCAGACTAAATAGGATATAGTCTAGAGGTAACCAAAATACAATGCAACTGATAAAAGAACTCCCATCAAGGAGCAAAAATAAAACAATGAGCTAAACAAAAACATCAATTACAAGATAAACAAAGAACTAAAAACCTTCTTAATTAAAACTAAGAGGTTCTAAAAGGCCTGTAGAGAGACAATATATTTCATGTATATAAAAGAATTGCCAATGAACTGTACATATATAGATAAGAATTTTAAATAATAAGACAAGGCACAGACGTGAACAATATCGTACCTAAAACACAGCATTGTGGTCTTGTTGACCAAGAAAGCCGCAGAAAAGTTAATCAGCTCTAGAACTTATCACTGTGTAACATATGTAAAAATTTGAACGGTTTGGCTGGAAACCTGTAGACAAGTCTTGAAAGTGAAGATTTTAGGACGGAAAATCCAAAATGGCCACCTTAAAATTTACCCAGAATGCCCAAAAACCAATCAGTTCTTGACGCTGATATGTAGAAACATCCCTGAAAATTTCAGATGAATCCCTCAAATGGTTTGGCTGAAAATCTGTAGACAAGTCTTGAAAGTGAAGATTTTAGGACGGAAAATCCAAAATGGCCACCTTAAAATTTACTCACAATGGCCAAAAACTAATCAGTTCTTGACATTGATACGTAGAAACATCCCTGAAAATTTCAGATGAATCCCTCAAATGGTTTGGCTGGAAACCTGTAGACAAGTCTTGAAAGTGAAGATTTTAGGACGGAAAATCCAAAATGGCCACCTTAAAATTTAACCAGAATGCCCAAGAACTAATCAGTTCTTGACGTTGATATGTAGAAACATCCCTGAAAATTTCATATGAATCCCTCAAAAGGTTTGGCTGAAAACCTGTAGACAAGTCTTGAAAGTGAAGATTTTAGGACGGAAAATCCAAAATGGCCACCTTAAAATTTACCCAGAATGCCCAAAAACTAATCAGTTCTTGACGTTGATACGTAGAAACATCCCTGAAAATTTCAGATGAATCCCTCAAATGGTTTGGCTGGAAACCTGTAGACAAGTCTTGAAAGTAAAGATTTTAGGACGGAAAATCCAAAATGGCCACCTTAAAATTTACCCAGATGCCCAAAAACTAATCAGTTCTTGACGTCGATATGTAGAAACATCCCTGAAAATTTCAGATGAATCCCTCAAATGGTTTGGCTGAAAACCTGTAGAGAAGTCTTGAAAGTGAAGATTTTAGGACGGAAAATCCAAAATGGCCACCTTAAAATTTACCCAGAATGCCCAAAAACTAATCAGTTCTTGACTTTGATATGTAGAAACATCCCTGAAAATTTCAGATGAATCCCTCAAATGGTTTGGCTGAAAACCTGTAGACAAGTCTTGAAAGTGAAGATTTTAGGACGGAAAATCCAAAATGGCCATCTTAAAATTTACCCAGAATGCCCAAAAACTAATCAGTTCTTGACGTTGATATGTAGAAACATCCCTGAAAATTTCAGATGAATCCCTCAAATGGTTTGGCTGGAAACCTGTAGACATGCTGAAAAGTGAGACGCCGCCCGCCCGCCCGTCAAGCTGAGTACAATATCGTACCTCTTGTTAGGTACGATAAAAAAAAAACCAAAAAAATAGAATCTACAAAACACAAGAGCAGCATATAGCAACATCAGTGTAAAGCACCAGAAAAAGAGGATAACCAAAATAAATCAATATGTTATTTTTTCTAAGTTACCAAACTTCCAGTTTAGTATAGTAGAGAGGATTAATGATGCTGATTGTGTATTAGCTGTAGGCTAAACAGCGAACATATTGCGCAATATCTTTTGAAAAAATGCCGGCATAAAAACGTGAATAACACTTCCGTACTTTGACGCCTTCCTCGTCTTCACCAACCCACTTGTCTGTTGGGGCTTTACTGAAATCATCAGGTTCAAAATCATCTGCATCTGGAATAAAAGAACAATTTCCAATTTATTGATCTCATCTACAACACTCACAAAGAGTAAATATTGAATAAATATGCGAAAATTTGGCGCTAACCCCAGTCTGCCATTTTGGATTCTCGTTTGAAATCTCGTAATTTCTCGCGCATCATTTCCGTTTTAAAAAAATTGTTGCCAGGCGAAGTGATACTTTTCTGTCAATTTAGAGGCCTTTAGAGGTGTATGTAATGCATTTTAATTACAGAATGTAAGTAAATGATTAAATTTAACCATACTCTCCTTGTATACGTTTAGTTTTACACTAGCAGATGGAAGGCTTTACAGCTATTCTTCAAAATTTGGGGAGCACAGCCACGGCCACAAGAATTAGAAATGAGAATGTGAACATACATGTACATAGGCCAAGGGTAAAGTAATAGTAAGCCGTATATAGAAGAGACAGGTGAACAACTCTGACTTAGACCACTTGTTAAGATGGAGATTTCAACAATATTTAGTGTATTATTTTCAAAAAGCCATGGGGAGTTGATAGAAAATTGATAGTTTGTAGCTCTTACATGAACCTATGATTGAAACTCAGTCAGATGATATAGAGCGAATAATGCTGTCTTAAAGAGAGAATTTCTGAAAACCTGCAATTGCTTGGCAAGTTCATTAGTAAACAAGTGATCTGATTGGTCACTGCTGACCTCCCTGACCTCCACCCACGGATAGTTGGAAGTCCTCCATCTAGGAGGTATATACACCAGGTTATATGCGACTAAAAATTTAAAAAATATGAAAAAAATATGGTCATCTGTCCTCTAGATTCAATTTTTGAATGAATTGTAGCATAATGTACAGATTATTTGATATCATGCTATTATTGAAACATTTATACGCAAAAATAACTGGGTCTCTCACCTCTTATGCCTATATGTGTTCAGTAATCATCAATTCTCGTGAGTAAAATTTCTCCAGGCCATTGAAAGGTCCGCTCAGTAAATTGACAATTTCTACTGCGCATGTGTCATGAACTACTTCAGGTTGTGAAACACTGGACAAAATGGTTTGGTAAATTTCAAGCTATTTGATTAGTTGAAAAAATTGCGCCTTTGCGTGATTTGCTTTATTCTCGCGAGATAAGGCACTCCATCCCCTTAAATTTTTATTTTGAACAACCATTATGATTTGGTGCATTATCTGACCAATAAAGCAGATTTGGAGGTATGAATATTTTTTTTTTTCTGTTTAGTGTTTTCTACAAGCCCTATGTGTCTCAGGATATTTGTTTAACGAAAACTAGACAAATAATTTATTTCAAAAATACATATTTTTTTATTTTGGATGGAAGCTGCGTAACCTGACAAATAATATAAGTAATATATGGAGGACTTCCCATAACCATGCCTCCACCAGTGACAATCAGTTTCAGCTTGCCAGGCAATTGCAGATATCCATAGTTGTTGTTTTATATGCAGTATTATATGCAGTTTTTAGATAAAGATTTGAAAAAAACAATGATATAAGTTTGTAAAACACTTTGAAGAAGATTTTGGAGAGATTTGGGAATACAATTTGATACCAGTAAGGAGAACTAGTGCCAAGACTAAAAAATTTGAAAAATTTTCAATCTTACTTGTGGACCTGTCTCTTCTATATACAGCTTACTATTACTTTTCCCTTGGCCTATGCTTGTGAATATGAATCAATCAATGCCACTTGTTGAAATTTGAATAATTTCTGATTTAGAATGAGTGATTTTATTAGCTCTTTGTATTTAATTGGATAATTGATATGACGGATATGAAAAACTGAGTTTCGGGTATGCCTCTATGAAGGGCATCATAGCCTATGACATAGGCCCTGGAATGTGTATAAACAAATCGAGTTGAATACACCTAAAAGTAACATATGATATAACTAACTCCTTGGATCCCTTTCATGTTCAGTATCCGATTTCTTACACTACAGCTCCCGGCTTGGATTATTACAGCCCCTAAAACTGAGATACCACATACTACAAAAGATTGAGACGTTCTCAGGACTATAGTCCTGGCACGAGATAACCACGTACTACATGTACATGTATTTTTCAATTTTTTGCCAGTTATGGGTCTCATATATGCTTAGAATGTACTGAAGAGGGTCAAGATTCCAAATATTTTCTGGGATCATGCCAGACCCCCTTAGCTTGAGGAGTTACACCCTGTAGAAGCTTTGCCAGGGTGTGTCGACGGTGCAATCCATCTGTAAGATTAATATATACGCATCAAAAGTCCAAGACTGACTCACTCTTGATTACAATAAAGGTAATATAGGAATTATGCACTAGTGTGTATTCTCTGTAGATATTCCACTGTACAGTGTGCAATGTAAAGGTATGTAAGCAAAGAACATTGATTGTAACTGTGTATTCCAGATATAATATTTAAGAGCAACAGGTAAATGCCATGAGTGGAAGACCAACTTCACGCCCAAGTGGATCAAGGGGTACCCCAGGAACTGCATGGCAAAAAACAACTGCAAAACCAACCACTGGTGCTAAACCTAAATCTGCTTCTCCAAAAAAGGTTGGTGTCCAGCTTCTGTAACGGCACAGCAATTGGTGTTTGGTGTCTGTAACAAATTCTTACGGTGTCTGTAACAAATTCTTATGGCATCTGTGACTAATACATGGCAGGTGGTGACATTTTGCATGTTAATGCCTTGTTACTTTATTGCTACATGTACATGTTCCACAGAATTATTTTATGAGCATGTGCTTGATTATTTTCAAGGCTGCAAATAAGGCAGGAACAAGTACTGCATTGGTTCCTAGGAGCAAACAAGGTGCCATAGCAACCAGGAAAGGAATGGCACCTATCCCAATGAAGAAACAGGATGGCATGCTTGTACCAGAGGGTGAGGACATACTATGATGTACATTCACTTCATAATACATACATTTACATTTACATAATGAATGTTTATGAATCAACTGACATAAAGACTATTACCTACATTACATAGGCAATTCATTGCTATAAGATTTTCACAAAATACATGCTAATCCAAGATCAAGAACTAAAACCATTCCTCCCATCCCATGTTAAAAAATCTTGAATTGTGAAAAACCCCAAATTTTAACAGTGGACAGTCCATGGGCTCTATCATGGGTGGTAAAGCCCACGGACAGTCTTAATTGGAACATTAATCTCACAAAAATAAACATTTATGAACCCAGACTCTTTGTTTGTTACCTTTTACAGGTTACACTGTGCGTAAGATAGAGCCTGCCAAGAATTACGACGTAGTGTCATTTGCCCGTGCCATGAATCCGGACTTTGCACCCAGAGTGAAAAAATTGTTTGATCCAGAAAGGGAAGCTGCAATTGCTGCTCAGAAGTCTGGTAAATCTGTCGACCAAATAAACATTTTGTTGAGTATCATGCAATCATCAGCAATTATTTTCAAATCCTCATTGTGTTCTTGCTGTTTTTAAAACCATCCAGATTGTATCATTTTTTTTTAAAATTACCTGTTTTTCTCACAATTTCTTGAATGATTTCATATTGTGTGAATATTGAAGACATGTACTTTATTTTACAATCATTTTAAATTATTTTTGAAATAACTTGTATTCATATTAATTGTAGGTGTCTACATTGGCTGGAGGTGCCCTGAGTTTACTTGGGATTGTCAAAGAGTTAGTTCAATGTCTAAGTGTTTCTGCGGACATCTACTAGGAGAGCACAATTCATACAATGGTAAGTTAAACCATGGGCTTTCAAGAGAGCTTGAAATACATTATTGATCTTACATGAAAATGTAGTGAAACATTCTACATGGTCAGTATTGGAGACTAAAAGAAAGGAGGTGGGATGGGTATCAGAAAACAAGTAAATGAAGGCAAGCCATCATATCACTTATCATACAATTTCTAGTTTATTTGCCAGATAGCTAATTTTATTAAAAACATTCTATGCGTACTTAACCTTATTTAGAATATCCATTTTACATTACATATACAGTAGTACTATGCAGCATTACATTTTGAATATTATAGGCCATTGTGTTAGAGTCCTCTGCAGACAACCAGGCTGTTCCTCTAAAGCATATGTAGCATAACACTTCGATTATTATAGGCCATAGTGTTAGAGTCCCCTGCAAACAACCAGGCTGTTCCTCTAAAGCATACATAACACTTTGATTATTATAGGCCATAGTGTTAGAGTCCCCTGCAGACAACCAGGCTGTTCCTGCAAAGCATATGTAGCATAACATTTTGATTATTATAGGCCATAGTGTTAGAGTCCCCTGCAGACAACCAGGCTGTTCCTCTAAAGCATATGTAGCATAACACTTTGATTATTATAGGCCATAGTGTTAGAGTCCCCTGCAGACAACCAGGCTGTTCCTCTAAAGCATATGTAGCATAACACTTTGATTATTATAGGCCATAATGTTAGATTCCCCTGCAGACAACCAGGCTGTTCCTCTAAAGCATATGTAGCATAACACTTTGATTATTATTGGCCATAGTGTTAGAGTCCCCTGCAAACAACCAGGCTGTTCCTCTAAAGCATACATAACACTTTGATTATTATAGGCCATAGTGTTAGAGTCCCCTGCAGACAACCAGGCTGTTCCTCTAAAGCATATGTAGCATAATACTTTGATTATTATTGGCCATAGTGTTAGAGTCCCCTGCAGACAACCAGGCTGTTCCTCTAAAGCATATGTAGCATAACACTTTGATTATTATAGGCCATAGTGTTAGAGTCCCCTGCAGACAACCAGGCTGTTCCTCTAAAGCATATGTAGCATAACACTTTGATTATTATAGGCCATAGTGTTAGAGTCCCCTGCAGACAACCAGGCTGTTCCTGCAAAGCATAATATGTAGCTGTAGCATAACACTTTGATTATTATAGGCCATAGTGTTAGATTCCCCTGCAGACAACCAGGCTGTTCCTCTAAAGCATATGTAGCATTACACTTTGATTATTATAGGCCATAGTGTTAGAGCCCCCTGCAGACAACCAGGCTGTTCCTCTAAAGCATATGTAGCATAACACTTTGATTATTATAGGCCATAGTGTTAGAGTCCCCTGCAGACAACCAGGCTGTTCCTCTAAAGCATATGTAGCATAACACTTTGATTATTATAGGCCATAGTGTTAGAGTCCCCTGCAGACAACCAGGCTGTTCCTGCAAAGCATATGTAGCATAACACTTTGATTATTATAGGCCATATTGTTAGAGTCCCCTGCAGACAACCAGGCTGTTCCTCTAAAGCATATGTAGCATAACACTTTGATTATTATAGGCCATAGTGTTAGATTCCCCTGCAGACAACCAGGCTGTTCCTCTAAAGCATATGTAGCATAACACTTTGATTATTATAGGCCATAGTGTTAGAGTCCCCTGCAGACAACCAGGCTGTTCCTCTAAAGCATATGTAGCATTACACTTTGATTATTATAGGCCATAGTGTTAGAGTCCCCTGCAGACAACCAGGCTGTTCCTCTAAAGCATATGTAGCATAACACTTTGATTATTATAGGCCATAATGTTAGATTCCCCTGCAGACAACCAGGCTGTTCCTCTAAAGCATATGTAGCATAACACTTTGATTATTATTGGCCATAGTGTTAGAGTCCCCTGCAAACAACCAGGCTGTTCCTCTAAAGCATACATAACACTTTGATTATTATAGGCCATAGTGTTAGAGTCCCCTGCAGACAACCAGGCTGTTCCTCTAAAGCATATGTAGCATAATACTTTGATTATTATTGGCCATAGTGTTAGAGTCCCCTGCAGACAACCAGGCTGTTCCTCTAAAGCATATGTAGCATAACACTTTGATTATTATAGGCCATAGTGTTAGAGTCCCCTGCAGACAACCAGGCTGTTCCTCTAAAGCATATGTAGCATAACACTTTGATTATTATAGGCCATAGTGTTAGAGTCCCCTGCAAACAACCAGGCTGTTCCTCTAAAGCATACATAACACTTTGATTATTATAGGCCATAGTGTTAGAGTCCCCTGCAGACAACCAGGCTGTTCCTCTAAAGCATATGTAGCATAATACTTTGATTATTATTGGCCATAGTGTTAGAGTCCCCTGCAGACAACCAGGCTGTTCCTCTAAAGCATATGTAGCATAACACTTTGATTATTATAGGCCATAGTGTTAGAGTCCCCTGCAGACAACCAGGCTGTTCCTCTAAAGCATATGTAGCATAACACTTTGATTATTATAGGCCATAGTGTTAGAGTCCCCTGCAGACAACCAGGCTGTTCCTGCAAAGCATAATATGTAGCTGTAGCATAACACTTTGATTATTATAGGCCATAGTGTTAGATTCCCCTGCAGACAACCAGGCTGTTCCTCTAAAGCATATGTAGCATAACACTTTGATTATTATAGGCCATAGTGTTAGAGTCCCCTGCAGACAACCAGGCTGTTCCTCTAAAGCATATGTAGCATTACACTTTGATTATTATAGGCCATAGTGTTAGAGTCCCCTGCAGACAACCAGGCTGTTCCTCTAAAGCATATGTAGCATAACACTTTGATTATTATAGGCCATAGTGTTAGAGTCCCCTGCAGACAACCAGGCTGTTCCTCTAAAGCATATGTAGCATAACACTTTGATTATTATAGGCCATAGTGTTAGAGTCCCCTGCAGACAACCAGGCTGTTCCTCTAAAGCATATGTAGCATAACACTTTGATTATTATAGGCCATATTGTTAGAGTCCCCTGCAGACAACCAGGCTGTTCCTCTAAAGCATATGTAGCATAACACTTTGATTATTATAGGCCATAGTGTTAGAGTCCCCTGCAGACAACCAAGCTGTTCCTCTAAAGCATATCTAGCATAACACTTTGATTATTATAGGCCATATTGTTAGAGTCCCCTGCAGACAACCAGGCTGTTCCTCTAAAGCATATGTAGCATAACACTTTGATTATTATAGGCCATAGTGTTAGAGTCCCCTGCAGACAACCAGGCTGTTCCTCTAAAGCATATGTAGCATAACACTTTGATTATTATAGGCCATTGTGTTAGAGTCCCCTGCAGACAACCAGGCTGTTCCTGCAAAGCATAATATGTAGCTGTAGCATTACACTTTGATTATTATAGGCCATAGTGTTAGATTCCCCTGCAGACAACCAGGCTGTTCCTCTAAAGCATATGTAGCATAACACTTTTATTATTATAGGCCATAGTGTTAGAGTCCCCTGCAGACAACCAAGCTGTTCCTGCAAAGCATATGTAGCTTAACACTTTGATTATTATAGGCCATAGTGTTAGAGTCCCCTGCAGAAAACCAGGCTGTTCCTCTAAAGCATATGTAGCATAACACTTTGATTATTATAGGCCATAGTGTTAGAGTCCCCTGCAGACAACCAGGCTGTTCCTCTAAAGCATATGTAGCATTACACTTTGATTATTATAGGCCATAGTGTTAGAGCCCCCTGCAGACAACCAGGCTGTTCCTCTAAAGCATATGTAGCATAACACTTTGATTATTATAGGCCATAGTGTTAGAGTCCCCTGCAGACAACCAGGCTGTTCCTCTAAAGCATATGTAGCATAACACTTTGATTATTATAGGCCATAGTGTTAGAGTCCCCTGCAGACAACCAGGCTGTTCCTGCAAAGCATAATATGTAGCTGTAGCATTACACTTTGATTATTATAGGCCATAGTGTTAGATTCCCCTGCAGACAACCAGGCTGTTCCTCTAAAGCATATGTAGCATAACATTTTGATTATTATAGGCCATTGTGTTAGAGTCCCCTGCAGACAACCAGGCTGTTCCTGCAAAGCATATCTAGCATAACACTTTGATTATTATAGGCCATATTGTTAGAGTCCCCTGCAGACAACCAGGCTGTTCCTCTAAAGCATATGTAGCATAACACTTTGATTATTATAGGCCATAGTGTTAGAGTCCCCTGCAGACAACCAGGCTGTTCCTCTAAAGCATATGTAGCATAACACTTTGATTATTATAGGCCATAGTGTTAGAGTCCCCTGCAGACAACCAAGCTGTTCCTCTAAAGCATATGTAGCATAACACTTTGATTATTATAGGCCATAGTGTTAGAGTCCCCTGCAGACAACCAGGCTGTTCCTGCAAAGCATATGTAGCATAACACTTTGATTATTATAGGCCATAGTGTTAGAGTCCCCTGCAGATAACCAGGCTGTTCCTCTAAAGCATATGTAGCATAACACTTTGATTATTATAGGCCATAGTGTTAGAGTCCCCTGCAGACAACCATGCTGTTCCTCTAAAGCATATGTAGCATAACACTTTGATTATTATAGGCCATAGTGTTAGAGTCCCCTGCAGACAACCAGGCTGTTCCTCTAAAGCATATGTAGCATAACACTTTGATTATTATAGGCCATAGTGTTAGAGTCCCCTGCAGACAACCAGGCTGTTCCTCTAAAGCATATGTAGCATAACACTTTGATTATTATAGGCCATAGTGTTAGAGTCCCCTGCAGACAACCAGGCTGTTCCTCTAAAGCATATGTAGCATAACACTTTGATTATTATAGGCCATAGTGTTAGAGTCCCCTGCAGACAACCAGGCTGTTCCTCTAAAGCATATGTAGCATAACACTTTGATTATTATAGGCCATAGTGTTAGAGTCCCCTGCAGACAACCAGGCTGTTCCTCTAAAGCATATGTAGCATTACACTTTGATTATTATAGGCCATAGTGTTAGAGTCCCCTGCA